ATGAAAGGCCCGAGCTAATGGGGTTAGCTTGTTAAACAACTACAATAAAAGAGACTGCTTTTTGCATCGAAATGGGTCTCTTGGTGATTTGGGGGTTTCAGGATTTGGGCACAACAGTCATGTATTTAAAAAACATTTTATTTCCAATTATTTCTACCTGAGGGTAGATTCCCTTGGAGCTGGAGTTACAGGAAGTTGCGAGTTGCCCCTTGTGGGTGCTAGGACCTAAACCCAGGTACTCTGAAGGAGCAGTATGTGCTCTTAACCACTGAGCCACCTTTCCAGAACCATTGGTATATTTTTAAGTAGATGCTGGGACAATCAAATTACAATTGCACTTAGACTCTTAGTTTGAGCAAAAGAATGTAACATTTAAATATGATAATCTTCCCAAAATGATGGAATTACATCCTACATGACTTGGCATGTTGACATGTTAAAATCCCTTTAAATTTTTGTGGGAGGCTTGGTTTGTAGCCCAGGCTGTTCTCTAATTCATGGTCCCTGTCTCAGCACCAACACACTCTCAGCTTGATGAAAACTCCAGACATCAACTTGAAAAACAGGGAAGTGGAAGATTGTCTCTTAGGGTTTAGGGTCTCTTGAGAGTATAATTTCTTTTAGGGACCAGAGATCTCTAGCCTGGAGGCCTTTGCAGTCTCCTCACCAGCTGAGCTTGGTCGTGCCTGACTTTGTATTTGGAAACAGATGTGCAATCATCTCACACTGCAATTCCCTCTGCCTCATTTCATGGACCAGGAAGAGTAGAGCCTACAGATCATTCCACAGCTGCCTGGTTCTCAGGACTTCTCAACAAAGGGCAACTCAAACTATTTCCTAAGTCACAGCATTCTTTACCCTACATTTCACATTCACCCTACATCCTATATTTATCCTTCAACAGTATTTTCATGTTTTTCCCCCCCTTTGGTTGTCTCCTGTCAGCCCTGAAACAGCCATTTTTGCTTCCAAAAATAGCCTTCCTTCAGTGTTCAACTTAATTCCAGTTGGCTCCTCCATAGCCAGGCTCTATACTCCGTGCACTACTCATTCAATTTTTCATTCTTTTCCCCTCAAATCCATGTACAAAATATTTAATGCAAATATTGAATACAATGAAAATAATATCATTGTAATCACGAAGTAACCTAGAAGTCCAGCCTGATACCAAAGCAAACCCTACCCTTTTCCCATGTGTAAAATGAGGTGGGTCCTAACATTTTCTGCAGGGGGCCATGGGGATGTACAACAGTGACAACTAGTATTTAACAAGTTGACTTACCAAACATACGATTCCTGATGGGGAGCCCCGCCTGGAAAGGCTGTGTGATCACTGGCTATAGATAACTATTTGTCTCTGTAATTTCTCTCATGAGCCACTTCATTTCTTCCCTAAGAACAGCTTTGGGTGTATTCCCACTGTGTTTATCTCGTGTAAATATTCCATCTATTGGGCACACATACAGCTGTGGATAGTCAGATGATTTCTGCTTAGGCTGTATAATTTTGATGAATAGAAATATTAATAGGATATTTTACATTACTCAGGCTGACAAAGGATTCTCAATCACAAACATTCTTCTACACAGACAGCTAACTTTAGACTTCAGAGCAAATTCAAAACAGGCTGGTTGCCCCTAGAGACAAATAGAGGTAATTTTTCCTGGCATTAGTTTTCTGATTAAAGGTCAGGATAGAAGCAACTTTAGTACAATTGAATTAAGGGAGGAGCAATAATATGAACAACGGAGTCAAGGCTGTGATGGGAAACTCACAGAATCAGCTGAATTGAGCTAGTGAGAGATCATTGATTCTGGTCTGACAAATGGGGAACCCGCATAAGACTGAGCTAGACTCCCTTAATCTGGCAGTGGGTCCAAGATCTAACTCTAATGCACAAACTGACTTAGTGGAGCCCATTCTATATGGAGAGATGCCTTGCTCAACCTAGATACAGGGGTGTGGAGAGGTGTCTTGGTCCTGCCTCAACAAGACGGGACAGACTTAGATTTCCTAGATGGGAGGTGGGGAGGGGAAGTGGGGAAAGCAGAAGAGGGAGAGTAACTGGAATTGGAATGTAAAAAATACATTTAAAATACTCTGTACTCATGGGAAAAGAGATGTAACTGAATTAGAAATACGTAACTGAGCAGGAGAGAGATGTAATACACTTGTCCCTTTTTTCTTAGGTTACCAGAAGCGTGTTTATTTACCCAAGATAGAAAAGTCTAGCCCCTGCTGCCTTCATGAATTTTCTTATTTACCTTGGTGCTGACAGTTCTTACCAGTTGTCAATGTTGCACTTTCATATTGACAGCACATTCCAATTTTCCCCCCAGATGTCCTGGAAAATTTTCCCCAAATAGGCATAACTCAATTTTTTTTTGTTGTTGTTAAAACACTATGCAGTATTTTGTAGAAAAATTACGCCTTAATTTCTTATTTTGAATTTGTATCTTTATTGATTTTCAGGTTATTTCAACATTTTCTCTTTCAAAGTTATCGCAACCAGTTTCATTACCAGCTCTTATCAAGAAAGCTATATCAATTTCTATTCTCACCAGGAGTTTCCAGCCAACCAATGGCCATTTAAATTTGTATTTTTTGGTTTATTACTTTCACATTTGTTGGATCTGTTTATGTTCCCTTATCAATAATATTATCTACCTAGGGTAAATTTTCTTTTCCTCACTGATTTGAGAACTATTACAATAAAATGGTACATTGTGGATTCTGGAACAGAGCATGAAGATTATGTATGGCTGTCAATTGCAATGTTGTCCTAGAAACAACATTAATTTAGTGCTAATGTTTAGTTAATTTAGTGCTAATGTTCATTTTATGAGGTTGGTAAAATAATGCTGTCAACACCAAGGACAACCTGATACACAATAAATGCTCAATGGTAGCCAGTCTTTCATATTTGGCACATTCTATTATGTTGTAAATAATCACCATTGTGTTTACCTTATCTACAGATATTTGAAGTTTTAAAATATTTTATTAGCATATTATACATAATTTTACTAACATACTATACATAATAATGAGGTTCATTTCTTTTCATACATGGCCTTTCTTATACTTACACACACACATTCGATATTAAATCTTGTGACCTTTCCACTGTTTCCCAGAAAGGGATTTGATTAGTGTAATAAAGTCTATCATCTCTCCTTCTGTGGATGCTACTGTAATGGACTTTTGTCAGAACCATTCACCGAGTTGATTGAGTTGGTTGCCTCGGTGGGTTCTCCTTTCCATCACTCTACCTTAGTGCTTTTCATTTTCCAGACTCAACTACTGTTCATTCAAAAAAACAAATGTTGGCTGCTCCTCTTTATTTTGTTTTCTTTCTTTTTTTTTTTTTTTTTTTCTTTCTGTTTTTTGAGACAGGGTTTCTCTGTGGCTTTGGAGGCTGTCCAGGAACTAGCTCTTGTAGACCAGGCTGGTCTCAAACTCACAGAGATCCTTCTGCCTCTGCCTCCCGAGTGCTGGGATTAAAGGCGTGCGCCACCAACGCCCGGCTTGCTGCTCCTCTTAATGTTCACCTGAAGAACAGTGTTTATTTTCTTATGGCTTCTCTTTCCACATTATACTTCCAGAATGTTCTTGTCTGTTGAATGGCTTCACAAAGCTCCTCTGAGCAGAAAACAGTGAAATCATTAGTTATATTTTCCACTATTTGTTGATGTTTCCAACTTGGCATTCCACAATCACCTTGTTTTGATTTTGTTTCCTGTCACTATAAAATACCCTGACAAAGGCAACCCAAGAAAGAATTCATTAGATCACAATCCCAGTTTACAGTCCATCACTGCTAGGAAGACAAGGCTGCAGAACTTGGAAGAAGCTGGTTTAAGAAGAACTATGAAATAATGCCTGCACTCCAGGGCTCAGTTCTCTCTTTCATTCAGTCCAGAGTCTAGCACATGAAATGGTGCTGCCCCACATTCAGGGGTGGTCTTTCCACTTCAAATAAACCCAATTAAAAACAACACTCACAGGGCTAAAGAGACGGTTCAGTGGTCAAGAGCACCTGCTGCTCTTGCAGAGGACCTAAGTCAGCAACTATGTCTGACAACTCAGCTCCAGAGGATCCGATGCCCTCTTGTGCATTCACATGCATGTGCTTACATTAATGTACACACACAGATACACGCACGCACGCACGCACACACAATGTCCTCCACAGAATGCTCACAGGCCAACCTAATCTAGACAGTTCCTCATGAAGACTCCCTACTCAAGACAGGCAGTGGTGGCATATACCTTTAATCCCAGAACTTGGGAGGCAAAGGCAGGTGGAGCTCTGTGAGTTCAAGGCCAACCTGGTCTACAAATTGAGTTCCAGGGCAGCTGGGCTGTTCCGCTGAGTGTTGCCTCGAAACGCAAAAAAGACTCCTTACTCAGGTGAATCTAGATGGTTTCATTAACCTTTAAAAGTAACTAAAATATACCTTAAACTTCTAAAATTGAATTCCATACATAAAATTATATATATGAAAATCAGAAGACCTTTAAGACATACTTGTTTTTTTTTCTTTATATTATAAATACTATGTATGGAACATTTCCATATAAAAGACTATACATATTTGAAAGGGCTATGCAGACAATACATGTAATTATAAAGTGAAAAAAGTAGGTCTAAGAACAAGACATTTCATTTTAACTCTTTTCTGTCTCTTGAATTTTTGTACCACAACAGGCAATGACTATTTGAAAATTAGTACAAAAAACATTAGTACAAAAAAACCCTCAGCAGTACCATTCAGTTTGTCCCTTGTTCTAGCTGCTGATCACTGTCAGTATCACCCACTACCTCTTCAAATGCACATCCTTCACCACATTTTGCTCAATACCTGCTCATATAGCAACCACCCCAAGAACACTCAGTAAGACAAAGATTAGGCTAGAGAGGAAAGTATGTATGGGGTATTGTCAACACAATGCCCCAAGTACGACCAAGACATACAAAGCAATTACACCACACAGGGTACTTCTTAAATAAATGATTCTTTTGACCATTTACAATTATTTATTTATGTAGGCAGTCATAAAATATTTTTATAATATACATAAGAAAAAACACATATAGATGAGTAAGAAATATAATGGCAGGTGATAGAATTTAGTGTTTATAAATGAAAGTATCAATAACAGTCACAGAAGAAATTCAAACATATTTAAAAATTGAAGCCATGCATTTCAATATTTCTAAATTGCAAGAAGGTAATATGGCTTACTATTTTTTCAATGATCTCAGAACACTTCCAGAAACTGTCATAGACGGATATGAAAGGAAAGGAAAAGACAAGAACTTTGGCAAGCAAAGTAGTAGACAACAGCAGCTTGGTAAAAGTTTAATCTTTTTATGTAAATGTTCCTCAAATTACAGTTGTTCTTATCATAACAGAAAAATGTTAATATGAGGAATCTCTAAGCTATATGAAAAAAATAACTATTTAATAAAGCCTGAATGAAAATGTGCACCACACTGCATAAATAGAAATGGAGTGAATGCAAGCCATGTGATTCTTAATGCTTCTATATAAAATATGTAGCCCCATATGTCACATAGTGTCACTGCCCACATCTCTTCAGAAAGTTGCCAAGTCCTACTAAACTAATAAGCTCTTGTTGTCTTTTCTAATCTCTATCACTAAACATGTTCCTGCAAAGCCCTCTGAGACAGTGCATTCAGTACTCTACTAACAAGTCATTTCATGCATGAGCCATGAATGATCACAACCTTTTAAAAAAACCACTGAGGCTAGAGAAGGAATCAAACCAGAGGTTTATGTTTGTGACTTACAGGAGACCTTGACATCTCAAAACCCACAGCTCCAAAAGACAACTCAACTTGATTAAGATTTTTTTGACTGGCTAATTAGGTTTCTAGAAAATGAGACTCTGAACTTAAAAGATGTAGCAAAATCAATTATGAATTGGCTGTCAAACACTTATGAATGCAAGAGAAACTGGTTGAAGTTTTACATAGAAAAGATATAAATACTGAATAATATGTAGTGAATATTTGCACAGGCCCTTTTATCTTTAAAGCATAAAATACAACTTGCAAATCTGATGCGCCTAATAATGTCTTCTTAGGACACTTTTTGACACAGCTAGCAAAGCCTCTCCATGCTTAAGAAGTTCCCACAGTTTAAGACTTTCCAACGGGTTTGTAGCAAGCATCAGGCTGCCAGAGGCGAATATCAACAATGACCTGGTTGAGTTTCTGCATCCAGAGATCCCGCTCCTCTTTAGTATCTGCAGAGAGCCAGTTCCTGCAAGGGCAAGCAGAGGTCAGCTTCCCTCTCACCATTCCATACCTCCCACATCCTTGCTAGGAAAACACAAATCACTAAACAAACTAAGACTTGCTGCCTACCTTCCAACTGATGCACAATAGAGTACTGTCATTATTCCTGGTCTAGTTAACTAATCATAACTCACACTAATTCCTTAGGGTTTCCTTGTTTTTGGTTTTTGAGATGGAATCTCAGGTCTCATTGACTTCTACACACCCCACAGCTATACCTAGCAACAACCTAATGAATAGACTGTGTCACGTTATAACCGCCATTCCTAATTACAACCTGTTCATTGAAGACTGCCTTCAAGCTTTTCTTGGGCATTTGTGCTGGGCAGCCTTTTTGCTGACTTGACACAACCAAGGTCATCTGGGAAAAGGGAACCTTAACTGAGGAAATGCCTCTATCAGACTGGCCTGTGGAAAAACTCTGTGAGGGCATTTTCTCAATTAAGGATTGATGCAGGAGGACCCAGCCCATTGTGGGTGGTACTACAGCTGGGCAGGTGGTCCTGGGTTCTATAAGAAAGCAGCCTGAGCAAGCCTTGAGGAACAAGCCAGCAAGCAGCATTTCTTCATGGCTTCTGTTTCAGGTCCTGTTTCTAGGTTCCTACTTGTGTTCCTGCACTGACTTCCCTCAGTGATGGACTGTGTTGTGGAAGTGAAAGCCAAATAAACCCTTTCCTTAAGTTGCTTTTAGCTAAAGTGTTTAGTTTGTTAACCTCCAACCAGAAATATGCAGATTAAAATAAAATCAACTTTGTAAGTAATCTAATTAAATGAGAGTACTTCTTTTTTTCTTTTTCTTCTTTGAGACAGGGTTTCTCTGTATAATAGCCCTGGCTGTCCTGGAACTCACTTTGTAGACCAGGCTGGCCTAGAACTCAGAGATCTACCTGCCTCTGCCTCTTGAGTGGTGAGACTAAATGTGTGTGCCACCACTGCCTGGCTATTGAAGATATTTCTTTTTTTCTTTTCTTTTTTTGGTTTTCGAGACAGGGTTTCTCTGTATTGTTTTGGAGGTTATCCTGGAACTTGCTCTGTAGACCAGGCTGGTCTCGAACTCTCAGAGATCCGCCTGCCTCTGCCTCTGGAGTGCTGGAATTAAAGGGATGTACCACCAATGCCTGGTGTATATTTCTTAATGAAGAGAAATATGCTTGCCTTCTCAACTACACATGAAATCTGTAAGTTTAAGCTAACTGTTTGGAGAACAGTCATGACCAACTGAGATTCAACCTGAATAATATACTTTTCTTAATTAAATTCAGTCAATTATTATAAGTTGTTCCCTTACTGTTATGTATGTGTCTTCTCACCAGGACTTTACCCTTTTCAAAGTTGAGGACCATCAACAATATTTTCACGCCTAAGAACAAAGCTGGCAATTACTTAGTTGACAGAAACAAGAATGGGACCAGTACATACTTGGTAACACAGAGTGTGTCCCTGCATTGGCTGACAAGAGTCTCTCGGTCGTCCTCTCTTTGTGGTCGGACAGTGATTAATTCCAGAGTGTTGCGTCTTGCACAAAATTCTCTGTTGGCTGGTTCTACCTGATGACTGATACAATTGGCCAGATTTATCCTTCCTACAGGATTCTTTAAAAATAAAACATAAAAAGTATTAGTAGAAAACAAGCAAGATTATTTGAATCAGTAAGGAGTGCTTAAGTTGGCATAAAGTTAAAAGGCCATTATTTAAAATTTAATATTTAACAACCAGAAAACAAATAAGCATGAAGCAGCCAAGCATAGGAAATGGCTTAGCAGCCTGGGATTTCACTTGGGATCATCTCTCTATGATCAATGAACTTAGCAACCTAGTGGTCAACCTAGGACCCCTCACCTGCATCAGGCCGCACATACATCTGCTTTAAACAATGGGAATAAGTTCTTCCCTTATCAAACACTTGACAGCAGCCAGTTTTTATTCAAGCACAAAGGAACACAATCCAGGAACTACAGGCAATGGACTGATCAGGCCCACTTGGGTTTGTGAGCATGCCCAATAATATAAATCTATGTTCCATGTAAACTTTGAGGAAGGCCCCTACTTACTGTCTTATGACTATATACACACATGTGCACATACACATGTACACACATTTGAATATGCATTCTCACACATATACTATGCACATCCAAAAACATTGTATATCATTAATAAACAATATCAATAAATTCATTTTAGGTAACAGAAAATACCTTACATTTTTTTAAAAATGGAATTACCATATGATCCATTATAGTCCTATTACAGCAGAGGCTCTCAAACCTGTAGGAGACTGAATGACCCGTTCCCAAGTGTTGCCTAAGACCATCCTGCATATCAGATATTTACATAATGATTCATAACAATAGCAAAATTACAGTTATGAAGTTGCAATGAAATAATTTTTGGTTGGGGAAGGGTCACAACATGAAGAACAGTATTAAAGGGTTGAAGCTCTAGGAAGGTTGAAAACTACTGCACTAGAAACAGTGAGATTGCTCTGGAAATAAAATCTCATTGTGTGTCAAAGAAATCTCATTGCAGGATTACTCATAATAGTTACGATATAGGAAAAACCTAAGGGTCCATCAAAATACAAATTGTAAAAATCTTTGGCACACATACACAATGGGATATTGTTCTCCCTTAAAAGAAAACAGTCAGGGCCAGGCGTTGGTGGTGCATGCCTTTAATCCCAGCACTCGGGAGGCAGAGGCAGGATCTCTGTGAGTTTGAGACCAGCCTGGTCTACAAGAGCTAGTTCCAGGACAGCCTCCAAAGCCACAGAGAAACCCTGTTTCGAAAAACAAAACAAAACAAAACAAAAACAAAAAAGCAGAAGCAGGAGGTAGAATCTGGAGGGTTTCAAGTTCTAGGACTGGCTGGGTCACAAGTAAGACCCTGGCTCAGTGGTTACGAGCACTCACTGAACTTGACCCAGGCTCAGTTCTCAAAACCCACAAAGTGGCTCACAACTATTGGTACTCCAGTTGCAGGGGGATCTTACTGGCCTCCATGGGCACCAGGCACACATGTGGTACATGTAGGCAACACACTCATACACATAAAATAAAAATAAATCTTTTCTAAAAATTAATAATCTTAATGACTATAATGTAATGTTGCTTAGCAATGATTAAAAAACATTACAGGTATGTCTACTGCTTTAGAAAGGTATCTGGAAATCTCAAATAAAAAATAATTATAAAAGTGTTTTGTTTGAAAAAGACAAATTCATAAAAAGAGTTTGGGGACCCTGTGGGAGCCCACAAGTGACTCAGTTTCCATCTGAAGTCTATTCTGACTTAAAAAGACATTAGAGTTCAAGCTTGCTTGCTCCAGTCTCCTTGAGAGCCATGAGAAAGTTCTGATTAAACCATGGGTTAGAGTATATTATCTCTCTAACGAACTACTGATGGCAGCTATAGGCACACAGATAGATAGCTTAGCTGCTTGCTGCTAGTAGGACCCACATTTTAGATAGTGAACCTGGCTGCTCCTCGATTCAAGGACAGTGCAGGGAGCTGGTTAACTGACTATGCTGCTCTTTGTTCTGCTTTGCCTCTAGTCTGTATATAAGCAGGGTTTAAATTAAACTCAGGACTATCCGGTGTGCTGAAAGGCATAGAGCGGGCAGTCCTCCCGAAACTATCCTGTGTTTCTGTCTCTTTATCTGCCTTTTCTCAATCCTCATGCCCCTACTCAGTTAACCCAGATGACTCCTTGGCGCCTCTGACAGGATATAAGTAAGCAGTACCAATCCTGCCTAGTAAGTGAAGTAAATAAAAGGCTGTGGGCATAGTCTCCAGCACTAGTAGGGAGGTGGGAAGTAGGAGGGCAAGGGAAATGACTCATAGAAGCATATATAATTAAATTACTATTATATATTTTAGCTGTAGACAACCAAAACACGAACAGTTATTTGTTATATATACAGAAGGAACTCAAGGGGTGGGCAAAGGAGACAAACACTCATGGAACACCACAAAAACCCAGCAGGACTTCCACCACTGACCAGAGTTGTGTCAATTACCTTTCGCCTCTCATCATCTGGGTAAGTCCAGTAGGAGATACAGTTTCCAGAGAGAACACACCATCTTCGATGCCAGGCACCAAAGCCACTAACATCTTCAAATATGGTCTGGAAGTCAATTGAAACACTGACATTAGAAAATTGAAAAAAAAAATATCTTTATCGGTGACATTTTCATGTGAAAATCTATTTGTATGAGTTTATTGTGTCTTTTACTTCAGTAATGGAAGTCAGATTATCAAAAATGCATTGAATAATATCTAGATCAAGCTGAGCATGGGGTTTGTGATCACTGTGAGTTCAAGTCAGCCAGAGCTATACAGAGAGACCCTGTCTCAAAATATTTTACATACACAATTGACAGTGAAAGCACAAACTTCAGTGTGCAGTGCCACACCTTCCGAATGGCTCCTAATTATACAGAAGTTCACTGGGATGTACAGGCTTTGGACCTGGGGAATCTCACTCTGTGATGGTTTTTTTTTTTTTTTTCAAGTTCTTTATAATGAATTTTTAATTTTTTTTAAAAAGATAGGAGATGGCTAGATTGTCAAATGTGGTAAAGCAATGACAGCAAAAAATATAGAGTGGAGCTGGGTGTGGTAACAGAAGCTTTTAATTCCAGCACTCAGGAGGCAGGGGCAGGTGGATCTCCTTGAGTTCAAGACCAACCTAGTCTAGAGAGCAAGTTCCAAGATGGCTAGTGCTAGGTACAACAAATTCTGCCTTTATAATAATAATAATAATAACAATAACAACAACAACAATAATAATAAAAGCAACCAAACAAAAATACTAGAGAATAATGGCAAAATCGAGATGGCCAATATATATCCTTTGTGAAAGGTTGCCAACAACTCTAGGTGGCTGCCATGCTTCACAGTAAAATGTAGAAAGAAATGCACCACTTCTGTTTCAAGTGTCAGAAAGAGAAGCAGGTTAATCCCCATAAAGTCCTTTCTCAGCAGCATTTTACCCCCAACTTGTACAAGGCAGGGCAGTCTGGGCTCTCTCGTGCCTGTTCCCTTATTACTCCCTGCATTAAGTCACTAGGAAGTGCCCATCATCTGCCCATGCTCACTTTCTGTCCCAGCTGGCCCCTCTCATCTCTCATGTAGAGTGACTCAGACTTAGTAGTGAGCTAGCCTCTTTCAGGGTCACCCTCTGCACACCAGTCACAGTCATTTTCCTAACCTAAAATGTGGTTATTTTCATCTCTTAAAACCCTACAATAGTCACTCGATTGGCTTCAGAATGAAGCCCAATTTCTGTAAAATACTTGGTCCATTTCTCTAACTATACAGACTCCTCACTCCCCACCTCTATACCCAGGCTAAGCTCTGACTACCCCAAATATTCACCTCTCTCTCTCTCTCTCTCTCTCTCTCTCTCTCTCTCTCTCTCTCTCCCTCCCTCCCTCCCCCCTCCTTCTCTTTGGGTTGGGGTAAGAGAGGGACACTACAGCATTTCTCTCCTCCCCTCTGCTGACTTACCAAGCAGGTTAGAAGCTACCACTCCCTGCAGTCTCTTCTCCCTTAGCTCACAGCAGCGTCCCTATGCTCTCCTATGAGGTAATGTACTTGTTGGTTCATTTCCTTCCTTCATACTATATTAAAAGCTTCTCCTGGGCCAGCAAGATGGCTAAGTGGATAAGGGCACTTACTGCCAGCCTTACGACTTAAGTTTGATCCCCAGAACCGACAAAGTAGAGAGAACCAATTCCTGCAACTTGTCCTCTGACTTCCACAAACACACTGTGGCACATATGTGCACCTCGCAAATAAATAAATATAATTAAAAAGTTTAAAGCTCCTGCAAGTGGAAAGATTCTTGTCTGTGTGTAATTATTTCTCTGCACCAGCACAGTGAGTGGCTTAGAGGGAATTGCAACAAATCCTTCCAAAACCAATTTATCATGTAGTCACACAGACTTTCTTCCTGTAGAAGACAGAAGAGAAGGTAACGGAGAAAACAGGGAATGGTACTCACTAGGAAGCCTTTCTCCTCAACACTTGAATTCACTTGACAGCTGATTTTTAAACAGATATGACCTTCCAAAGGAGATAAAAAAGGTACCTGTAAGGAAAGGGGGCAATTATTTGTAAAATCATTTCAAAGTGGGATCTTTCTTGATAACCCATGAATACCATACCCTGAAAATAAATCACATTCTAAAGTTGAAGTATAAAAGAACCCTTGGTACCTTAGCAACAGACACTTTTAAGGAATACATTCATTCAAAAATTATTTTACAAAAAAAAAAAGTCCAAAGCTCCAAATTGATGATAAAGGAGATGTGAGAACAAGAGCTGCTGACTCCTTTGTCATGAGAAGACACTCAGGAGGAGCCTGGGTGGACCAACTGCTCACAGCTAGAATGCACCATTCATTACTTAGCAATAAAGACAAAAGAAACACAGAAAAGGGAAAGCCAATCCTTAAGTCTATATAAAATTGCAAGGGACTGTAAATACTCAAAATAATCAAAAGAACACTTGGGCTGGGTGGTGGCACATGCCTTTAGTCCCAGCACTTGGGAGGCAGAGTCAGTCGGATCTCTGTGAGTTCGAGACCAGCCTGGTCTACAAGAGCTAGTTCCAGGACAGTCTCCAAAGCCACAGAGAAACCCTGCCTCACAAAACAAAACAAAACAACAACAAAGAACACTTGGATGAAACATAGCTCCCAGTTTATGAATTAATTCAAAGCTTAAGTAATGGCGACAGCATTGATAGCAACAGAGGGATAGACACAGGCAAATGGAGCAGAACGGAGAACCAAGAAAGGGCTGAAGATGCGGCAGAGGCAGAGGCCCTGAGTGGCATGCACAAGGCTCTGACTCAGTCTCCAGTACCTAAAGACAGAGACCAGAAATAAGCACATTTGGACACACAATTATTTTTTGTTGCTCTTTTGCCAATTAATTTTTGAAAACCATGCCAAGACTATTCTAAGAAATAGAGCAGTCTTGAACAAACGGTATTGAGAAAACTGGAAATTCACATGCGAAAGAGTAAAGGCTAGTATCTTCCCTGGGTTCCCATTGCTTATGATAAAATACCATGACTGAAAGCAACTGGGAAGGAAATAGATGTATTTCATCTCACACTTCAGTCACAGTCCACCACTGAGGGAAGTCAGGGCAGGAACTGACCCAGAAGCCATGGAGGAGTACTGCTTACTAGCTTGCTCAGCCTTCTGTCTTATACCCCCAGGACCATCTGCTCAGTACTGCCACTGCCCACAAGCCCATCGGGTGCAAGTACTTTCTCAACTGAGGAGTCTTAATCTCAAATGATTCTAGCTTGTGTCAAGTTCAAAAAAAAAAAAAAAACAAAACACACACCACACACCACAAAGCAGGACATCTGGACCTCACCTCATAAAATACATAAAAGTTAACCCAGAATAGATTATGATTTAAATATGAGAGCTAGTATCACCAAAATATCTTAGAAGAAAACATAGAAGCAAAATTTCATGATCAGATACGACAGTGGATTCTCAGATACAATATAAAAAGCAAAAGTAACATGAAAATAAAATAGGCTTCATCAAAATTTAAAACTTTTCAGAATAGAGGTTCCTCAGAAATTAAGAATGAAGTACAAGGGGCTGGAGAGATGGCTCAGAGGTTAAGAGCACTGGCTGCTCTCCCAGAGGTCCTGAGTTCAATCCCAGCAACCACATGGTGGCTCACAACCATCTGTAATGAGATCTGGTGCCCTCTTCTGGTGTGCAAGTATACATGGAAGCAGAATGTTGTATACATAATAAATAAATAAAATCTTGCCGGGCATTGGTGGCGCACGCCTTTAATCCCAGCACTCGGGAGGCAGAGGCAGGCGGATTTCTGTGAGTTC